ATTACAAAAAAAGTCCCCCCCCCCCCCCCCCCGGTGGACTCCATTCCCCGGCCTTAATCGTCATGGATACCGCCCATCCTCTTCATCAACTCCGAGCAGAACTCGTCAGTCTCCTCATCCTATGAAGACCGACCCTTCCTCCCTTCTGCGAACTTCCACCTCATCTATCGGTCAAGCTCATCAACCGGCAACTCGCCGTCATCCTTGCCGACAATAGACTCTGCCACTTTCCAAATTTGTAGCAAATTGTCCTCGGCAGCACTAGCAACCAGCCATGGTTCGTTGGGATTCCAGCTGAAGTCGGCAAGGTGGTTGGTGTGTCCGCCATGCATGAATAGCCTGGTACAATATGAGTCCTACTTGAGCTCAAAGATAGAAGGCTTGGTCACTTACAGTTCTGGGGGGCCGTCATCTTGATCATCAGGCAGTTGCTCCTCTCCTACACGAGACAGATCCCAGAAAATGATTCTCCTGTCGTAGCTGCCACTGCCCAAAATCCCAGCCTCTGATGGATGCCATGACAAGCTCGTCACGGCATCATTGTGTCCTTCGAGGGTGTGCACCTTCTCTCTAACATTACGTAGATCCCAAATACCAACAGTCTTGTCAGCAGACGCTGTAGCGACAAGGACCTCTGAGTTGGGGTTGAAGGCAAGGGCATTAATGGCGTCAAGGTGGCCGCGTTTGGCGACAAGGGCTGCAGTAGTTGTGTTGTCATGTCGGACATCAACAATTTGAAGGGTCTGGTCGTCACTAACGGACCCGATAAAGTACTTCGAAATGGGATGATATTGGACATCGTTGACAACTTGTGTGTGATGAGTATAACGACGGAAAGGCTTGAGAATCTTGGATTCGGCCTCTAGCGTTTTCAAGTCCCTGTTTACTGTCAGCCGTTTCTGGGTCTCCTCGCACGGAAAGTAGCTGCTACATACCAGAGGCACATGGACTTGTCTTCACTTCCGGAAGCCAAGCATCCAGCCTCGTGGGGGTTCCAGGCGAGACCAAACCCTTCAGCCTTGTGCCCAACCAGTTCAATCTGGGCATTTACCTTCCCAAGAGAGGCGGGTTGAAGCGGGTGCTTGGTGCGGTCGAAGATGAGAATCTTGCCATCTACACACAAGGTGGCAATGATGTCAGGATTCTGGGGCTGGTACCTCGCCTTGTTTACCTCGCCAGGGTGCTCAATCTTCTGGACAATGTCGCACTTGATGGCAGCGACGTCGCCGGAGCTGCCATAGCCACCAATTTCGCCTCGCTCTTCATCGTAGTTGGCGGGATTTGGGGCAACCGCCTTTGGGATCTGGACATCAGCAATCTGCAGAAAGTTGGCACTCTCATCCGACGTATGAGTTCCAAGTAGCAGTCGGTGCATGCGATAGTTTTTACCCTCAGGTTCCTTGACATCGGGGAACCACTGGACAGTCAGTGTTGGCCACGTCAAGGCCGTTCTGGCTTGTTAGATTAAAAACTCCAAAGACGGATGCAGGAACAGCTTGCGGCATACCCCAAAATCATGTCATATAAGAAGGGACTATTTTTCTTCCAGGTCTTATACTCTGTTACAGGGTGGTCAAATCCCAACTCGTCTGATCTCGTCTGGCGGATTTTTGGGCGCACATACCCTCATTTATGAGGCGCTCGACCTGATCATCGTCCTCGTCGTGGGCCATTTCGACTTTGAAGGGCAAGTCAGCACACGAAGATGGTTTATAAAGTTCGACTGGAAGGTGGAGGGTGTAGTAAAGATGCGAGCTTACCATCAACGTCAGGGTCGGAGGCTTGAGCTGGTGGCATGGCGTCCGTTGGTAGCAAATAGTGGAATAGGATCGTAGTATTATATGTTGAGATTGATGTAAGCTTCTGAAGCTGGCGTTGGCAACAATGGTTATTGGTGGTTGTATTGCGACGCTGTTTGCACACGATCAAAGGTCCTGAAAATGTGTCGGTTAGAGTCCAAAACGCGTCGCGCGTAAAGTGACGGGCGCAACCAGGACATCAGCCAATGGTGTGTCGTACTTATCCGGGGTGGAGCCCAGCCCACCTTGGTGACTGGAGTGCACTACCCTGAACTCCTGACTTGATGGATGAAGAAATTGTTTTGCAGCAATGCTGGATCTGGCTTGAAACCTACTTAGGTAGTTAAATAACTCAATCATCACTGCACTTATTCTAGTTATGGTTTCCTTTACAAAGGTATGCTAACAGTGTCTCTGTCGATGGCGTATCTTCACATCTCTTCGTCCTTTAAAAAGAGCACACGGCGAATTGCTAGCACACAAGTTCACGAACTGACTCTCAAAGTGCACCATGCACCACTATGACCATTGGCGTACCTTAAACGTCGAAGTTATTGCGACTATTGCAATTCCAATTTGAAGAACTTTAAAAGCAGGATCCCTGGGCGCGCCTTGGCAGGGCTTTGCTCCGAGCATAGCCTTGCAAAACGAGCACAAGTGCAACAGATTGATCACACGACGCATCAGATCAAATTGTCCAAAAAGTCGTTACAGTAGAAAACACCTAGCCTGACCGTACTCAATATCTGTACGGGGTAATTTTGACATTGTTTTACGGGTTAGTGAATAACTTATATGGCCCTGACTCCGGCAACAATCACGCCTTGCCCTTGCTGAGTCGAAGTTATTAGTTATGCACATGGGGGTGGAGCTATCGCCCCGACCCCACTTTGGGCCTCTCTACTGGTCCTGGTCGTCTCCCCGCCACATTGGCTCGAAACTGTTTCCAGATGTCCATCGATTTGATGATGACTCTGTCTCCGACAACCATTGTCACCTTTCAATAACGACCAACCTCCCCAGCTACCCCCCGCGGTCTCTCCTCCTCTGCGAGCCGCGACTCTCATTAGCTGCGCGAACCGAGTTCTTTTATTCCCTCGAGTTCTTCGCTGCGTACTCTTTTCTTGTCGCCATTTTGTTTTGTTCTGGCGCATTACAGACTGGTCGATCGATTTGAGCGTCCAAGGCCATTTTTTTTTCGTATTTGCGCAATCGACACACCGCAGTCAGGCTTGAAGCAAATTAATTGCCTTGTCTTTTGACTCTTCATCGTAGCTGAGATCTATTTCATCTTTTGCAGCATTTTTTGGGTCTACGATTGCCCACTTGCCGCCATCATGGGGTTTGTCTGAGCTCCATCCGACCCGAGGAAACATTCTGACCGCCCATCCTAGTGTTCCCAAGTTCTTCAGATGGCTCTCGGAGCGATATCCTGCCATTTCGCAACTCATTGCAGAGAACCGAATACCCGAGTTCGATTGCCTTTATGTTCGACATGCCCTCCGACTGCTCGAATCACTTTCGCGTCCCCGCTGACCTAGGTCCATAGCTCGATATGAATGGTATCATTCACAACTGCACCCACAAGGATGCTGGAGAAGACGTCTCTTTTCGCCTATCGGAGGAGGAAATGTTTATAAGAATCTTCAACTACATTGAGCACTTGTTTGGCAAAATAAAACCCAAACAGCTCTTCTTTATGGCTATTGACGGTGTCGCACCAAGAGCTAAAATGAACCAACAACGGGCCCGTCGCTTCCGTACCGCTCTGGATGCTGAGAAAGCCCGCGAGAAGGCCATCAAAGAGGGTGTTGAGATGCCCAAGGAAGAGCCGTTCGATAGCAATTGCATCACCCCAGGTATGCTTGGTCGCTGTGGTGCTTATCGCCACAATGCTGACAACCATAGGAACTGAATTCATGGCGAAGCTATCGCAACAGCTGCGATACTTTGTCAATAAAAAGGTCTCGGAAGATGCCGACTGGCAAGGGTGCGAAATTGTTCTTTCAGGCCACGAGGTCCCCGGCGAAGGAGAACACAAGATTATGGAGTACATTCGAAACGCAAAGGCACAGCCCAACTACAACCCCAATGTGCGACACTGTTTGTACGGATTGGATGCGGATTTGATCATGTTGGGTCTGCTCAGCCATGACCCCCATTTTTGTCTTCTTCGAGAAGAAGTCACCTTCGGACGGGCATCCAAGACTAAATCCAAGGAGCTTGAGCATCAAAACTTCTACCTCCTTCATTTGTGCATTGTGCGAGAATACTTGGAAATGGAGTTTCAGGAACTACACCAGGAGGGAACGCTGAGTTTTCCATTTGATCTCGAAAGAGTTATTGATGATTTTATTTTGATGGCTTTCTTTGTTGGAAATGATTTCTTGCCAAATCTCCCTGGTCTTCACATCAATGAGGGCGCATTGGCAAACATGTTTAAAATCTACAAGGCGGTTCTGCCAACTTGCGATGGTTATATCAATGAGAATGGTGTTATTAACATGGCTCGATTGGACAAGCTATTGACGGAGTTGAGTAAGCTTGAGTTGGTGTCATTTGAAAATGACATTTCAGACGAAAAGTGGTTTGCATCGAAGCAAATGGAGAAGAAACTCGAAGCGAAGACCGGAGGAAGCAACAAGAACGCAAAGACCGGACAGCTGGTCATTACTTCGTTGCAGCGCGATCTGTGGAAACAGAAGATTCGTCCCTTCGTCTCCAAACGTTCCGTCGACGCCTTGGATCTCGGTATAACTCTCAAGGCGGCGGACCGCAAGTTCGCCCAAGACATAGCGGATGCGATGCACCTAGATTGGTCTACCAAGGAAAATGAAAATGGCGATCGCCATCTTGTGTTGTCATTTCCTGCCCGACCGGGAGGTGATGAAGACGAAGATGAGAATGAAGAAGAGGAGGAAGGCAACCTGGCGGCATTCCGTGTCATTAAATCATATGACAAGGCTTTAGTTGTCGATGTGACATCGGAAGAGGCACAGCAGCAGTACGAAAAGCTCTACAATGAGAAATATGCCGGCTGGAAGACCAAGTATTACTTGCAAAAGTTCCCGGAATGGGACCCGGAAAAGTATGAAAAAGAGCAAATCGACCTGTGCCAAAACTATGTCCAAGGCCTGCAGTGGGTGCTCTTCTATTACTACAAGGGTATCGCTTCGTGGCCATGGTTCTATGGCTACCACTATGCTCCTCTAATCTCTGGTAAGATAGATTTCTTCGTCATTGTATGATTTTGGCTTAACAAGACATAGATGTTGCTAAGGGCCTCAACGCGGATCTCAACTTCAAAAAGGGACAGCCTTTCAAACCATACGAACAGCTCATGGGTGTATTACCCGATCGAAGTAAGAAGATTGTGCCCAAGGTGTACCACGACCTAATGACGAACCCGAATTCACCTATTATCGATTTCTATCCTCGCGACTTCGAGCTCGACATGAATGGCAAAAAAATGGACTGGGAAGCCGTTGTTAAGATTCCCTTTATTGAGGAAAAACGACTACTGGACGCTATGGCCACCAAAAATGATCTATTAGAGGACGATGAAAAGTCACGAAACGGATTTGGTGTTCCGATCAAGTTCACGTATTCTGCAGATGTCAACTTCACATATCCATCTCCGCTACCAGGGATCTTTCCCGAGATCCAAAACTGCCGCTGTATTGAGAACATTTTCGACCTGCCTGATATGGAAGGCTTGGAGTATGTCTCAGGCTTGGCCACTGGAGCTTTGGTGAAGGTTGAGGCTTTGGCAGGATTTCCGACGCTGCATACACTGCCTTACACCGCCCAAATCGTGGAAAGCTACGGCATCAACGTCTTCCAGCAGGATAGCAGAAACCCGAGCATTGTTGTCACCCTGACTGATACAAATCAGCGCACGAGTATTGAAGCTTTCAAGGCTAAATTGGGCCAGCGATGCTATGTAGGCTACCCATTTCTCCAGGAAGCCAAGATTATGAAGGTTCAGGACGAGCTCTTCTCGTATGAGCTTGCTGAAAATGGCCAGGATGTGGTCGTCAAGGACCATTCTAATAGAGAAGCTTCTGACTTCTCGAAGGAAGCCGATTATTTGGAGAGTTGGCACGCCAAGCGTCTGGGCGTCATCATTGGACAAGTAGAGTGTCTTGTACATGTGCACATGCTCAAAGGTCTCCTCAAAACTGAAGAGGGCGCGCTAATCAAGGAATACGCCGAAAATCCCAGCGTGCGCAGTGTCTATGCCTCCCAGACCATTGTGGACGAGGTTGTCAACGAAGACGAGAGATTTATCGAGAAGGAAGCTCTTCCCATCGAGGAGGAGCTCCCGCTAGGTACCAGGGCCTTTTTCCTCGGTGAATATGCCTATGGCCGGCCCCTCGAGGTCACTGGGCATGTCAAGGGTAAGACGGAAGTTGTTGTTTCCATTCCGAGAAGTAAAGAACCCGAGTTCTCCAAGAGGATTATTCATCAGGCCGAGCGCACCAATCCTTATACACCATCCTTTGCTGTAGCGAAACAATTGGGCGTGCATCCCTTGGTACTAAGCAAAATCACCTCATCCTATCAAGTAAGCACTGCTGCAGGGCTGAAACTTAATCTGGGCCTCAACCTCAAGTTTGAAGCCCGCAAGCTCAAGGTCCTGGGGTACTCACGAAAGGCGCACACTGGGTGGGAATTCAGCTCCCTGGCAATAAAGCTGATTGCTGATTACATGGTTGCGTTCCCCGATTTCTTCGCAGCCATACAGAAAGAACCACAGAGAAGTGAAATCTGCGAGACCGACCTGTGGAACGACCCTGCTGTTGCCTCGCAGCGCGTCAAGGATGTTGTTGCGTGGTTGAAAAAGCAGGAAACAAGCAAGTTCGAGCGAGTGCCACTCGAGGCTGAGCAACTCGACTCGGAAGTTGTCACGGCTTTGGCCAATGCTGGCGAGCAAGTGTTCCAAGCTTCCCAAGACATTGATATCAAGAAACTCAAGGGCGTCCCGCGAGCGGCAATTTTGAAGCCATCTGATGCAGAGTTGGTTCTTGGCAACCAGAAGTTCAGCTTGGGTGATCGTGTGACCTTTGCTGCTTCGGCCGGAAAGGTACCCATTGCCACACGGGGAACAGTAGCGGGCATCAGTAGAACTGCCACCGCCCTGCTCCTTGACGTGGTGTGGGATACATCATTTATGAGTGGTACAACTCTGGGCGAACGAGCGCCCATGTTCCGAGGTCAAACTGTACCATCTTCATCCGTCTTAAACACGGCCGACAAGCAAGTCATCTCTGCGTCCAGCAAGTCTCAGCAGAAGCGAGCTACATCGACAATATCCACAGGATTTTACGGATCCGTTGGTGTTCCCCAGTACAAGGATGCTCCCGCTCCTGCTCCTTTACGTGGTGGATGGCGTGGTGCTCTCAACGGCAGTGGTCATAGCACTCCCGGACGAAACTCTCCTAGTAGAGGATCTCCTGGTAGAGGTAGAGGCAGCCCGAGCATGGGACCTCAACGCGGCGGCAGCAATGGATCAGCACCCAACCTGCTCCACAGCACACTGGTGTACCGTGATGGCTCCAGCAGGACTCCTCCTCCGGGAGAGACTGCCAACGGGACGACTCGGCGCGGTGGCGGTCGTGGCAGAGGCCGTGGCGGCAGTCACCATGGAACGCCTAGCCCACAGCCTGGCAAATATAGCAACGTCCCACCTCCTGCGAGTCTGGATGGCAACGGTAGTGGACGGGGCCGTGGTCGAGGCAGAGGTCGCGGTGGCGCAAACAGAGGAAGAGGAGGTAGTGGACGGGGAGGAACTACTCCTCCGGCTCGGAGCTAAGGCGGTTTATTTTTCATGTTAAATGTCATGTCGAAAGTAAATACTCGGTCATGTTACGGACAGGGACGGTAAACAGGGTGTTGGACCATTGGAAGGTTGGCGGGGAACTACCGACATAGGTTTATTGTGTGTACTGGGATAGAAATCATGTCTAAATAGCTGGCCATGTGTGTTTACGGTTACCACGTAATGTATGAGATGAAAAGTATCCGATTTCCAAAAGCGGTGAAACTGTTGGTAGTTTGACATGTCTAGGTCGGCGCTATAGTAGCCATACATATCCCGGTATGGACTTGTCGACATCAAGCAACGCAACAACAATGGCATCGTGCGATAACAAATATTTCAGAGCATTTGGTACCACCTCGCGCTAAGAGTACACATACGCCCATATATATAATCAATTATACTCCTTTGCTCCGTTCTAAACCCGTGATTCGACTAGGCCTTCTTGGCCTTCTTCGCATCCTTGGTCTTTACGGCTGGAAACTCAAACTTTTCGCTCACGCCCTTCTCTATAGGGAACCACCGCCCGATAACCTTGTCCATGTTCCACGTAAGCAGACCAACCCACGGCTGGACATTATAATGCAGCTTAAGGGTCACATCGTTGACGCTGGCAATCTTGCCGGAAGGATGGGTGATTTGGTACTTTGGTCGCTGGTTGTTTAGTTTGAGAAGGCCACTGTACCGACTGTTAGCTTTTCTTTGTTTTGCAACCTTTGTTTCTTCCTGACCACAAAGATCATTGTCAGGTATGGCAAGGGAGGGGAAAAAAAAGAGAACGCACCGGCTGGGATCAATCGTCTTGCCTTCCGCGCTGCGCTTGAGCTTCTTCATGGCAATGGGCCCAATGTTCCGCAGGTGGTCAGCGCTGGGGTTCGTGATGATGCTATCCCATATTACGGCTGAGTTTGTAGCGTTCTGGCCCTCGGCGGAGGGCCAATCGGCGGTGACGTATACGAAGAGCTGCTTTGTGTTCCATGTGAAGAGGCTCGAGAGGTCTGCGTCGAGGGAGAACTTGATGATGGCGTATTCTTCCTTTTTGCTGCTGTAGTAGTGAGGGCGGCCTTTGACTCTGAAGATGGTGGCTTGTTAGAGCTCGGCGAGTAGGTGGGAGGAGAAGGGGGTGGAGGTTTACACTTGGATGTTGGTCGGGATGAGGGTGCCGCTGGGGTTGCGGGCGGCGAGGAGGTCGGTTGCGGCGATGAAGCCGGCTAGGACGCAGGCGACTGTTGTGAAGAAGCCGAAGACGTTTTGGATGCGGGTGAAGGACGAGTGCATTTTGGAGGAGATGGGCCGCGCAAGGTGCGGCGCGGCAGGTGAGTATGGCGGTTTGGATGTTGGATGCAAGCTGCGGCCGAGCTTGACGGGTGGTTTGGCATGAGGTTGCGGGAGGACACGTTGTGGGGAGCTTGTCAATTGAGAGGGATCTTGGCATCGAAGTTGATGGGTCCCACTTGAGACCTGTTACTGCAAAACACCATAATCACGACCAGGTTTCCTTTAATTTCGACTTCCAAACATCTTATTTTGCTACGTAGGTAGATGGCTGGTTCCTTTTCATGCCCAAATACTCCAAGTTCAGCCATAGCTACGGAGTTTCACCACTGCTGCCTTTGTAGATGATGCACCAAATATCTCCTGCCAGTATTCCCTAGTCTTCCTGATCGGTATGCCGTCCGACATGAGGATAACGCTGTTTTTGCTTCAGAGGATGTGGTTAATTGGCAGTGGCTCGGTGAGATGTTTGCCTTTGTATCGGGACCTGTGAAACGTTGGGATGCGGCTGAATTGAGCGATAGAAGGGGACCGAATACACCTCCTTTACGTCGAATAGGGGCATGGCTGCGTCATAAGTTCGCACAGCCTTTTTTTTTCTTCGCACCCTAGAATATCGCCTTGAGTTCGGTCCAAGGTCCCAAGAGCCTCATGGGAGGAAATAAGAATGATGAAGATCTATATCCACTTATGTATTCACCAAGTGGCAGACGTCGATATGTCCATGCAAAACAAGATAATCCAGCCTACCACGACGTCAGCCTCTACGTTGTATTTGACCGCCCTCTTTGGCCGTGTCGAGAAACCTAAAACGGGAGAAACTCGTGCCATTCCCGCGGAGCCATCATCTCCATCATACATCACCGCAGTCACAATCGGCCAACTCTCTCGCCGTCCCCAGAAACTCCGTACTCACGAAAACATGCGCACCACTGCCCGCCACACTCCCAGCATGCATCGTACCAACATTCGAAAACACTCCCACGACGACGTCACCGTCCTCCGCCCACCACAAACCACCCGTAAAGCCCAACACGCCCCCAAAGTGCCCATTCCAATAGTTGCTCCCGCCCGACCCGGCAAACTTCATCCTGAACAATCCGTGGCCCATCTCACTGCCCGGCGTAGCAGCACCTACCCACTGCTTCATCGTTCCCAAAGACTCTGGTTTCAGTAGCTTCCCGTCGCGAAGGGCCAGCCCAAACTTTACGAGATCCGAGGCGGAGCTGAGCATTCCGCCCGCCGTCCACTCGACTGATAAATTGGACGTCGTGGCATCGAGCAAGTCACTCCTGACGAGTGGGAAAGAGGGGCATATACCCGCCGTCGAGCGAAACATGTCCTTCACCCAGTGGTATCGACTCGGCACATGTCCCCTTGCGGCCTCAAACCCTTCGAGGTAAATGTTCCCCAAAGCCAGCGGCTCTAGAACTCGCGCCCGTATCTCGCTCTCCGCCGTATTGGCTGTGATTTTCTCAATGACAAGGCCCAGAAGCGTGTAATTCGTATTGGAGTAATACCACTCCCCGCTCTTGGGCGCTGTTTTCTTTGGCCTCCGGATATATCCCAATGGCTCCGTTTTGGTCCATACGTGCGCCGGAACAAGGTGCCTGCCGCGGCCATGCGCAATCCATTCGGGGTCGTCTTCCCAGCTGTCTATTCCTGCTTCGTGGCGAAGTAATTGGGAAATACTTGCGTTTGCAGCGTCATCTATATTGGCGTAGGTTTCTGGGGAGAGGTAGCGAGAGACAGTGTCGGACAAGTTCAGCTTGCCCTCCTCGATGAGTTGCAGGATGACGGTTGCGGTGAATACTTTGGTGATGGAGCCGATGCCAAAGAGGTGAGAGGGCTGGATGGGCTGTGGCGTCTGGAGATTGGCGTGGCCGGCGGTGAGGGCGTGACAGGTGCTAGGGGTGAGAATGGCGGCAGAGAGCCCAGGCGTAGAGGTCTCTGATATGTGCGTTTGGAGGATGTTGGTGAGCTTTGCGAGGAGGTCATCTTTGGACGGCATGGTGGAAGAGGAGGTCGCCAAGTATATGAACGAAGAGGGGAGTAACTGGGGCTGGCTGTCTTCGCCGCGTAATCGATTGTTGATGACGGGCTCGCTGAGAGTTGGGGTTGTATTTACATAATGAGGATCTGGGAATGTAGATGCGGGTGTTGAGGGGTTTCGCACTCGGCTGTAAGCCCTTCGGCCATTTAGGTGCTTTCACACAGCTTTGCAAGACAAGCCACTTACAAAATATTCACCACACGCATAACACAGAAAAAGCAGAGAGCAGGATTTTTGCTAAACGCTACATATTCTCCATAGAAATCCATCCTCCCGCCCTTTCCTATTACAATCAATATAATACAGCCAACAAGAGTTTCCGCCATTATGCCCGTCCTATCCGTACCAAATAAGGCCAAAAAAATTAAAAAAATTCAGCTAGGCAAGTACGCACTATGTTGTCTAGCACACGCCCATCTTACATCAAGTTCTTGAAACCAGCCTTACGGCAGCTGGCAACAAGCGACTTGACTTCCTGCGCACGAGCACGAGTGGTGACCATGAGCGCGTCCGGCACGTCGACGATGACGAGGTCGTCGACACCGAGACAGGCGACAAGACGGCCAGAGCCGGGAACGACAATACCACCGGGAGCTTGTTGGGCAACAACTACAACTAAGTTAGTGCGTGAAATTGTAGAGGATGACAAGACATGACAACGTACCTAAGTTGCGGTCACCAAGAATTCTCGGGGAGTTGGCCTCGGCGGGAAGCATTTCGGCGAGGGAAGAAAAGTCACCGACGTCGTCCCAGCCTGTAACATGTTAGCGTGAGTTCTGTGTTAGTGAGACATATATGAGCACATCTCACCAAAAGTAGCGGGAATAACGGCAACTCTGCCTTCAGCGGCAGCGGGCTCAGCAATGGCATTGTCAATGGCCACCTTCTCCAACGTAGGCCACACCTCGTTGAGGATAGTCTCTCGCTGCGTCTTGTCTTCCCAAGCCTTTGCAATTCTGGTCAAGTCATTGTGCAATTCGGGCTCATACTCCTTCACTAGGTCCATCAAAGTAGAGGCCTTGGTGACGAACATACCCGCATTCCAGCGGTAGTTACCGGATGACAGATATTTGGCGGCAGTATAAGCATCAGGTTTTTCCTTGAACGAGCTGACCAGGCGGGCGGAGGGAGCGTTAGGAACATCCAACTTGTCACCCAGCTTGACGTAGCCGAAACCAGTGGCGGGGTGGGACGGAGCAATGCCAATGGTAACAAGGAAGCCCTCCTTGGCGACCTTGACAGCCTCGGTGACCGAGTTGAGGAAGGCATCCTCACCAGCAATCATATGATCGGCGGCAAAGGATCCAATGACGGCATCCTGGTCACGGTGCAGGAGAATGGCGGCAGCAAGCCCAATGGCAGCCATGGAGTCCTTGGGACCAGGCTCAGTGAAGAGGTTGTCGGACTCGAGCTGAGGGAGCTGGGTCTGAATGGACTCGGAGTGGCATGGTCCGGCCACAACAGTCATGCGGGATGATCCCGCAAGAGGGACAAGACGGTGCCATGTCGACTGGAGCAAGCTGCGTCCGGAAAGATCAATATCCAAGAGGAACTTGGGGTGGTTTTCACGGGATAGGGGCCAGAGACGAGTACCAGCACCACCAGCAGGAATGATGACGTAGAAGCCTGGGATTTCACGGTCCATGGCGGGCACAGTTAGCTGTGGGCTGGGTGAAGGCGGAGGGATGTATCTCATGGCCGGAGATAGCTTAGGCAGAGGGTGAGGACTGAATGACCGGAGGGAGCCATCACCACCAGGGGTGAAGACGGAGAGACCAGTGCTGTCACGACGACCCTGTTGGTGCGCGTCAGTGTTATTGTCCCACGAATTGCAGGAAGACAGTGGAAATCTATCCTGACACAAATGCTCAGTATCAACCTACCATGACAGTCTCCCTTAGGAGCTGGCTGATCTCGGTGTTAGACTGGCGCAGCTGGGCGCACTCCTGGCGCAGTTCGGACATTTCCTCATTCTACATGGCGGACATGATTAATGACTTGGATATATTCATCAGATTGTTGTGAATTGGTGATATGCGGCGTCTTGTGGCGTGGTGTACAATTATCCCCTTTCACCGGGAACCCCTGAGCGACGTGTCCGAAATAAGAACTCACCTGCTTCTGGACCACCTCCATGATCTTGGCCAAAGCGGCCTCAATGCCTGTCTGCGCGGCCATTGTTTCGCTGTTTTTATATCAAAAGAAGCAGGCACAATGAAATGAATCGAAAATGACTGACACGTAACGAACGGACAAGTCTAGCTCAACAGGCCAAGTGATGAGCAGATCAACACGCAAAGGGGTAGAAAGGTGAAGGGGTAGGCAGTGTGGCTTCTCTCGAGATCGCGATGGAGAAAAAAAAAGTGGAACACGTTTGACAACATTGGAAGCTCTTGAAGTGGCATTTCTGGGGAGGCGTACTGACCGGTGGACCCCTGTTCCTCTGTCTGCAAGTTCCTACAGTGCGCTTTTGTCCCTGTCAATCCCTCGGTGTCCCTCAATACCCTGGATTCGGTCCATTTGCCCCACGTTCCTCCACCCGCTGCGTGGCTTGGTTGGCATTTCCAGATGTCTTTTGTGTCTTTTGTGCCTCTCTGTATTACAATCATTTTGCAGTTTCTGCTGGGCATTCTCTGTTTTGGTAATATTATTGGAACAGCACTCCGTAATAAGCTGCCAATCAAATCAGTGACCCATCCTCCCTCATTCTGCCTATTGTATTCCTCATGGTCTCATGCCCACAGCCGTCCGCTTTGTCCTCTGCGGAAATGCGATTCACGTGAGCAATCATGGGTACCTTGGTTGCTTGGAAGCCAAGCTTGTTGCTTGTCCTGCGCCTCTACCCTTACAAAGCGCCCAGCCAGGTACCCACGAATTGTGTAGCCCCACACCTGCCGCTGTCGTCGTTTTTAACTCCCCATCCTCTTGACACCGTTTTTGACACCTGGGTCGCAGCTGCAGGCAGCTGTGCATATGGCGGTATAGACAAAGATGCCGTATTTAGCTGCTGCCTCCCAAGAAGATGCCTTGAGCCGCAGTTTCAACACTTCATGCCCACCATGCCACAGGCGAACAAGCGGTCGCGACCGTTAAACCATGCCAACCCTTCAAGCCCGCATATCAAGCGTGCAAAGTTTGCACCGAGAGAATCCATCGAGTCGGAAGATGAACTCTGCAGAGGCTCTTCTCATGCGCCCAAGAAACGAACAAACTTTTCCGCCTTGCCCAGTCCAAAACGACAGCCATTTTCACGGGGTGATATCCCGCGCACACATTTCACCAAGCCCGCGAAAGCGCACATAATGACTACTACGACTACCCATGCTAGCATTCCCGACTTGCATGTGAGGAGAGCAGTGTCGGGGAAGGATATCTACAATGAGGACGACGACCAACGTGGGAAGTTAATCCTCCAGCAAGATGGTAACTCCGCAACGCTTGTACCAAAATTCCCAGCGGAGGAGAGCCCTCCATTGCAATGGATGAGGGTCCCGTTGGACAGCATTACCTCCGTAGAACATGCTATGAGCAGCAGCCATTATGTTCGAATACTACGGCCGCGGGGTAACGAGTTTGAGGCAAACTTGTGGCTGGAATTTACCGATCACCGAGACGTATTTAGCCTGGTGCAAGCAGCTTCTCATGTCAAAACGACCCCCTGCTCCTCGTGAGTTTTCGCCACCTTGCTGAAAACTAACTTTGTTTGCTGATGTCAATATCACCCAGTGAGAATCTCAAAGTTAGATGGCAAAAGGCCTTTGATTTAGCCTCAGTGTATGCAACGCAGAATACCAGACAGATCTCGAACAGTACTACCTCTGGGTTGGAAACCAGTCCACCACGTGCAACGACGAAACCCCTCGAGCAGACAGAAGTTCAGAAGGAATCACCTCGCGGACCACGGCGGGAAAGAATAGTCGAGAAAATGGTGAAATCTGCATCAGTCGAACAAGTTCAGGCTACCGGCGATTCCAAAGATGAGGATGTCACTATTTCACCGGCCCCTACCACCCGTCGAACCAGAAGGTCTTCACCTGCCTCTATTACGCGAGATCCGAGTCCTGACCGATGGACTGATCAGAATCCAGCCTGGCGGAAAAGTTGGCACAAGTCCCTTATTTTTCCTCCTACTGGCAAAAATAGGGCAACTGTTGACGATGACGATATCCTGAGGCTTGATGAAGGTGAATTTCTAAATGATAATTTGATAAACTTCTACGTGCGATATCTTCAGTTCAAGCTGGAGAGCGAGCGGCCCGAACTGTTGAGCAAGGTGTATATTTTTAGCACGTTTTTCTTCGAGAAGCTGAGATCAATCAGAGGCAAGGTTAACTATGAGGGCGTGAGAGCCTGGACAGCAAAGTTCGATTTGCTTTCGTACGACTACATTGTGGTCCCCGTCAATGAAACTGCTCACTGGTATCTGGCAATAATCTGCAACACACCCAATGCTGTCAATGGCATGCCTGAGGATGATACAATTCCCCGAAAAGAGGACACAACACCTCCGGGGATAGCATTGGATGTGCGAGACAAGTCAGATGTCTCAATACACAGTGACGATGCCAGCACGTCAATCTCCAAAGAGCCGGTTGATTTGGAGCCTCCCACCTCTTCAAGGACCCTGCAAGAATCGTCACCAGCCCCGAAAATTGCAACGTCACATAATAAGCTGGCAGCGGCGTCGCATGTTGATCCCAGGTTACCAAGAATAGTCACACTAGACTCTTTGGGGAACCCACATGCAGCCACTTGTCGAGTCTTGAAAGAATACCTCATAGCAGAGGCAAAGGACAAGAAAGGCATTGATTTGGCCATGGTTCCCACCGGAATGACTGCTAAAAAGATTCCAGAACAGGATAACTTTTGCGACTGTGGTGTCTTTATCCTTGGTTACATGGAAGAGTTTTTGAAAGACCCTGCCGAGACTGTCCGCAAACTGTTCCAGAAAGAGCCAGTAAAGTGGGATATTCGGCCGTCTCTTTTGCGTGATCAAGTGCGCGATCTCCTGTTCAAGCTACAAAAGGAGCAACAAGAGCGACTAGAAAGGGAAAAGGCCAAAATAAGACTGGTGTCCGCCAAGAAGAAGAAAAAACTGACTGCCGCCCGAGCGGCAAATCAACTGGCTTCTTCTCCAACTACTGTAAGGGAAAAATTACTACGGAAGCAGTCAGATGCCAACGCCATCCCGGCACATGTGTCAAGAACACTAGTGGGAGATGGTTCACGTAAAGCTGAACCTGATACAACTAGGTCGCCGCTGACAAAGCAGCTTCCTGGTGATGACAATGAGGTGAAGCTAATCAAATCTCCCAACGGCAACCCTAGCACTAGCAATACCGGCCCAGACGATGTGTTCTACTCGGCGCCATCATCGCCAAGTCGAAGACCAGCAGCTCACAATGCCGACAAGACCAAACCGAAAGAACTGGCTACGAAACCTACAGGCTCGTCTCAGCAAACGCTTGACGATTACCTGACGCACAGACTTCCCGGCTCCTCATCTGAAGTCGAACCTCAAGTCGCAATGACCACGCCAAAGAGACAGAATCTAGCATCTGTTGAAACAGTCGATTCTGAAGACGTTGTTCTTATTTCACCTCAGGTGGTCACTAGACAAGAATCTAAGCAACTTGAGTCGTCACCGACATTGGTCCAGCCGTTGCGATCAAGCCAAAGCTCGTCGCCTAAGAGATCGAGGGCCCGATATGACGGTGTTGAGAGGGCGGTGGATCTTACGTGAAGCATGTTAGGTGTGGAAAGCACTATTGCTGTTTGTTTGTGATGGAGAAGTAAGAGAATTGAGTAATGCTTAGAAAAAGGCCTCTAGCTCCTGTCAGATTCTTGTTATTTGATGAGATAGATCGGTATTTCTGCATAGCGTGGGTTGGCTTTTAACAATAATTCATGTGTTGATGGATGCGAGCATTGAGGGACCCAGGTGCTAGCTCTTTTGTTTATAGATTATGATAATGTGATATCTAGCGATTTTCTTGTAACGACTGTACACTCTTCTCTTTGAAACGAACCTGAAAACTTCTTACCCGTTCCCATGAGGCGGAACACAGCGGTGCCCTCTTCCGCATTCAATTTCTATTCCTGGCGCCAAAGGTTGGGCTTTTGTGTCATTTCTGGGGCACGAGATGTTTGATTCTCCAAATTGGAAGTTCTTCCTACTTGACTCAACCTGATGTCACGGCAGGAGTGGCGGTTAGTGTACGACCGGATACACAGAGCTCACATATGTAACTAGTAGCTTAATAAGGCGCCAATCTTGGCACCAACTTATTCACTCAGGGTAGTATTACCTCTTATCTTCTAGTGCGTACTCGGAGATACCCATGTATTTATCTGCAAATACATGCGTACGTGTCCATTAATGGAAGCATGTGAATGCTCGGTACCAATCTCATTCCAAAGTATAATAGTTGCCGCAGTCATCTTACAAAAGCAACTATCGCTGTACAGCGTCCTGCTTGTCAACCACATCCTTGGGAGCAAATGTACGCTCCAAACTACCCAGCCAGTGATCGTAACCCAAGTCTTTGTCGAATCCCTCAAGCTTCGGGATAAGGTACTCATTCAAAACAATGGCGTCTTCACCAGATCCCTTGACCCAATATGCGCGAGCACCGTTTGTTGGTTCCACGTACTTCCAATCCTTTGCAAAGGGCCCTGGCATGTAGCCTTTTCTGTTCTTGACACGGTGGATCACACTGGGGTGAACTTCCTCGTTAAACTGCTTGTACGGAATACGCTTCTTCTCGTTGCCAATTTTTTCATACGCCTTTGTCTCGCCCGGAATTCGATGATAGGCCGGTCTGGCCGTGGACACCAGCGATGGCAGCCACCACATGCTCATGAAGGAGTTGGTATCTGCGAGCTCACCGTCGCTCCACGCAATGGCCTTCCAGGCGGCAGACAAGTCGCGAATATTCTTGTTTTTCGTGTCAATTCCAGAAATGCCTATCCGGAAGAGAATGTATTTCTGCAAAGCGGTGCCACTAAGTTGCAGAAGCCCAAGGAGCTGGTCACACATCCAGGAGAAGGCGATTTCGTCGATGCTGTTTGTGTCGACTGACCCTTGGCTGTGACCCCCTACATCGGAGTGATAGCCTGGGAACCAACACTGCTTTAGGTTTACTTTTGGTGTTTTGCCCCCTTCCTCCATACACGTTGAGTCGATATGCCACAATGTAGGGGGGAAGTTCCCCCGGCTTTCGTCTAATGCGAGTGCGTGAAAGGCATTCTCAATCTCTGAAATGGACGGGATTAGTATATTTTGCCCCTCTTTGGCAAAGTTTTCATTAGTAGGACGAGTTTGAGTCGGGCTTACTTGGACTAAGCTTTGTGGAATGGAACGTGGTGTCCTCTCCCGCCTGTCCAAACCAATTCGGTCCTCCGACGCTACCGACTGTGTCCCAGACTCCAACTACCTTGATTTTGACATGCAAGTGGGCAACCTTGCGGAGGTGTTGGAGGCGAGTGCCGTAGGAAGGGGCCGGGACACCTTTTTGCGGAGGGACGGTGCCGAGTTCACCTGGGATGAGAGGCTCATTTGCCCACGTCGTCTCGTCGAAAGCCTGGTTTCCTCTGTTTTTGTACGCGCCGTATATCTCAAAGAAGTTGTCCATGAGCAGCGGCGTGAGAAGGCCTACTTGGCAGATGACACCGGCCAGAGAGCGGGCCGTGTAAGCGCCCCGGGAGAAGCCAAAGATGAAGATTTCGTCTCCTGGTCCCCAGTTGTTCGAGAGGTAGTTGTACGCTTCGCAGACGTTTTCTGCGAGACTCCCGCCAAAGGCACCTACAGCACGTTTAGGCGATATACTCGCATCGAAACCGTGTTACGTACCTTGGCGAACTTTGTCGACATATGTCAAGGAGCCCGTACCAACACCGGACTGGTAGTATACCACCTGTGGTATCCTTTCACCAGTCGTGGAAATGCCGACATTGGAAATCACACGGCACAAGCGAGCGACGTTACTGGAGTAGTCGTCGGTTCCTTTATCGACGCCGCTGAAGGTCCCGTCGCAGCACACAATGAGCCGCTTCTTGACGTTGCCGGAGAATTGCACCGAGGTGCATGCGTTGCATTCAGAAGTCATGATGCTATACAATGGATGTTTCGGTTGAAGTAAAGGGATGGTGATTTTACAATCATACTCGACATGATGGACATTGTGACATGGGATATCGTCAATATATCGCTTCTTGAGGTGCTTGCCACCTTCACATTGGTTTCGGTTCAGCCGTGAAGTGTAAGTCAGCCCAATGCGTAATGGACCAGCCACAAACAACCAAAAGTAACAAAACTGTGTGTTGCCCGAGGCAAAGGCCACCGAGGTTGACTCCAGCCACCCCAGCAATTGATTGCCGTGGAAAACTGCCAGCGCGTCTCTCTGCCAATCGTCTACGCCGCACACTGTAAGCTGACTGCGCCCGAAGTAGATCGTCACATTCCTGGCTCTTCAGCTTCCCCATAGTGTCCTCGTCCATTGATCTTGCGGTAGCTGAGCGAGTGGGTGGCGCACCGGAGCGCCCCAGAGTAACTCGATGAATGGCCAGGAAACGCCTGCTGTGGCATGCCGGAGGCTTTGCCAGATGAAACAGATTTTTATTCATAACCTGTACTGGGTCGCCCGGTAGCCCGAAGAACACGTTGGGGCCGCGGTTGAGATTGCATGTCAATATACGGGTGGCGTTCGGCGCAGAATGCGAAGCTTGGTACAATCCGGACGCAAAGGTCATGGGGTCTGAGACGAATTTTACCGGTGAGGCCGTTCTTGGATTCACAGGATAGTTGGAAGACGTATATTGCGATGCTGATAATGAGCGTCGTCGTGGACCTATCAGGCCCTGACATGGACTCGGGCGATGAGGAATATGTGCGGATCGAGCGAATGCGTATTGACAATGAACATGAGGGGCCAGTTCTTGACATTTTGTTTCGAAGCACAGCAGTCTACCTGGTTAATTCGTTTGTTGACCATCGCATTCATACACCCTATCCAGAAATGCCTTGGAACTTATCGTTTGTAGTTGGGAACAGGATGGACTGCAAGTACAGAAATTTCCAAAGGTGCGATGGCGTTGATAGATGATGATTTCCCTGGCCAGTGCGCGGGAATATATTCAGACCATAAAAGAATGGCTTTCAAATTTTTGCGTCACTACTCCGTATTGAGATTGATATTGATCATCAATCTGGGATCTCGTAGATAGATGGTCACTCAAGGCATGGAGAAGCTGGGAGGGCCGACTGGAGGAATCGTTTGGATGCTGGAGTGTCATTGCCATGCTACTTCGATGCCCTTTAACAATGCTTCTGGACATCTGTCGTCACGAAAATACTTTGTTAGGACAAAAGCTATTATGCACCGAGCAGAGAGATGGAAGGAAGCAAAAGTCCCAACGGCGAGGCTCCCGACTCCTGAGAGCTGTTGTGGCTCCACTTTGTCTCGCTCGCTTAGGTCATGGAAGAGCCTTTCGTCTCCTTTGTTGTTATTATTTCTATTATTCAAAGTATTTTTTGTTTATAATGAAGAATCGGCAAAGTTTTGCACAATGAACGCCAAACACGTCTCCAAAGCCGTTGTGATTGAAGACGGATTTGACGTTGAGAAATAGAGACGGTTACATCAAGAATCACGTGCGAGCATACAAATTGAACATCCATTGTCCTTTCGGAATTGCCATCTCCCCTTTGTGGTTTTGACTTTCTGCCACCTCACTTTTCACATTCTATCCCGGGCACGAGTTTCCGCCCTGCTTTGATGGAAACTGTGGTAGTTAAACTCGGCGGTGCTGCCATCACAAACAAGTCCATCGCCGACACCCTTGCCCCAAACATTCATGACCTGGTGGATAGGGTAGCTCAAGTCTATCAAGATAAACTGAGACCATTGGGAAGACATTTGATTCTGATTCATGGAGCTGGAAGTTTTGGACACCCTCCAGCCAAGAAGTACAATGTCAAAGCTGGTTGGCTGACTCCAGCAGAAGCAACCCAGGACAAGCTGGAGGACCATGCGCAACAAGAGGAGAAACGGCGTGATGAAGTGAAGTTTGGCATGGCAGTGACACGGCAACGCGTATTGCAACTGCATCATCATATGCTGCAACTGTTGCAGGACCGGGCGAGACTACCAGCTCTATCAGTGTCCACATATGACACGGTTGAGACGGACCAAGGAGTTTTGACGCAGGCGGCAAGCAGTCGATTGATAACGCGGGTGAACAATCTCCTGACGCAGGGGTTTGTTCCCGTATTATTTGGCGACGCCGTCCTGGATCACGCATGGGGAACCACAATCCTGTCGGGTGATGCTCTGATGCATGAATTGGCGACGCATTTACCACGCGTGCGACGATGCGTATTTGTCACGGATGTCCCTGGCATCTTTACACAGGACCCGAAGCAGTACGCAGACGCGGTTCTCATACGGCAATTACATTTCAGTGAATCAGGGGACAGTGCAACGTATGAAGACGATGCGGCCTCTAGTGTGGACGATGTTACCGGGGCTATGCGTACGAAATGGCAGTGGGCAAAACGCATCATGGCGGATGCGCATCAGGTGAATCGAGTCATTATTTGCCAAGCTTCTGTTTCAGATACGGCTATAGGTCTCGTTGGTGAAGACGACGGCAATGGCCTGGATGGTGGTGATGCCTCTGATGCTTGGACCACGATTCTTAGATAGGAGTATGCTATCGACCCGTTTCTATTGGCTTCGGGGTTCTTGAGCAAATCCGGTAGTCATTTTCGCAATCAGCTGCGCTCTATAGTATATACACGACTTCACCCGCCTTCTATACTCGAAATACCACACAGCCTTACAAGGAAAGAGATGTACTACAACATTGATTGATTGCCTTGGGCTGCGTCTAGGACGACAAATTTGGGGTAGGTCGTGGACGAGACATGCAGAGGAAGGTTCATGGGCAGTGAGGAGGAATTTTGGATATTGCTAGAAAGCCGTCTTTGTAGAGGTAATGTTTGGTACAAGCACTGAAGAGAATAAGGGCCCCTTTCTGTCTGTTTGGCGCGCAGATATTACTGGCAACGAGTGCATAACCCCCTCCTTTTTAATTGCCTTGATTGATCTTTCCAAATGACTAACACCAAATTTTGCGCAAAGTAGCTGCCTCAGAACCGATACCCAGGGCACCAGAACAGGCATCTGTGCTGAGCATACCATTGTCTTGGCAAGAAAGATCAAAAGAAACACTTGTCCGAGAGAACTACAGAGACATATCAAAGAAACGTCTTCAGATCCACTGAGCTACACGTAGCTGCAGGAGAAGTCTTTGCCTCGTTGGCTAATAGTGTTTAGAGGCAGACTAGCGATAAAGGACGTTGGATTCCATTTTGGTTTGAGGTCTGTTGTCGGGACTACTGGGTTGGGTTGCTTCTCCAGATACCAGCACACCTACATGGTGAACATCAGCTCCACCACCACAAATCTCATGGGGTAGCATTCCCCCTCAGGATAGAACAAGTTCGATGGGCGGAGAGTCTGAGTGGTTGATGCCATTTAGCTCCTGGCCGGATGAGCTCGTATGGGAAACTGAAGTGTCGAGCAGCGCCGACTTTGTGCATGTATCGGGTCGCCATGGGAAGTTCGTAGTCGAGGAGAGCTTGAGGACGGACCTTGTACCGGTCCTTGAGGGTTCATGAGAGCATAAGCTACAGTCTCAACAGCTAACTATTGATGCAAGATGCATACACCGAGTTTCAACATGATTCGTCGCGAAACAGCTCCAAGAAGGTCGTTTTGTCAATCGACTCTGATATTGTCTTCCGCATTAAACACAAGGTTGGTAAGTCAGGTAGGGATGCGGCCTCTACACAATGGTCTGCAAGAAAGTGAAGGATGTTATGGCTCTTCCTCGCGGCTTTTCCCAATATAACCGGCGTATACATCTGGTTGGCGGAGAAAAGTGAGGAAGACCATTCAGTAATGGGTTGATGCATTTATTGTAGTTTCTTTCAATCACGCCGGCCGAGGCTGGAATCGAATGGCAAAACAATAGAGTGCCTGGTCATTTGTTCATGTGTGCTAGGTGGCCTGACGTTGTCCATTCCTCATGCATGGTGCTGCTGAAGTGCCAGTCTCATGGGTAATGGTGGTTTCTTCAAGGAGCCAAGAGAAGAATATTCTAGTAGAATAGTTGGAAGGTGGCAGAAGCCGGGGGAACCGTCTCTCTGACGCATTTTGACGCTACGGCCATCATTCATGATGCCCGCCCATGGGTTGGTAAGCTGATAGACATGAATGCTGGGTTGCGCCGGCATTTGCTTCCTCCGGTGAAACTCTTCCGCATATGTCGCTTCACAACCGGAGACTACAAAAGAAAAACAAAGGGGCGCGTTGGGTCTACGCTGCACCAGTTTCTTGGCGCATTCGTCATCAAAAGACGTGTTGTCGGAAAAAAAAAGAAAATCTTGTCACGTTGAGTCAATGGTTTCAGTTTTCGATACAACAAAGAAACGATGATGGATGTCTACATGGGTGTCATGACGCCCAGGCTGACAAGTCATGTCTCTCATCTAAACGAACATCAGGCATCAAGATCCCATCCTTGGGAAGCAAGGAACCGTCCTTTCTTGCCTTGTTTCTCGCCAATTTTGCTGTATTTAGAATACTACGTTACCAAAATGCGGGCCTGCAAACTGGAGCACATATTCCTGCGTCCTTGGCCACGGTACAAAAGTGCACGCCCAGGTTCAAGCAACTTCAAGGTTCAATTTTGTCAATGGGATAATTTGGCGCTGAAGCCGCCTGGAATGCAATTCAGAGCACGCCTTGTTTATAACGAATACCATATTCGCGAGACGGCGCTGCCCAGCTCGAACTCGATAGCAACCAACCGCCAGAAACAAATCACCAGAAACTAGCGCACAGGTCTCGAGGCGAATAAAGAACAGGAGGCACAGCCCTGTGGATCAGGAGGCTCGGAGATTAATGTCACTTGCTCCGTTCGTATCGGACGTCAACCAGAAGAACTCGTAACAAGGCGTTTGAACTTGAGCTTTGGGTCCGTCCGTCCACCGCCCGTTGGACGTGCTTCGCTAGTAATAGCATGAAAAGCAAGTTCAGGTACTAGGTAGTACAGCTAAAGAAAGACATCGCAACAACTCGGTCGCAGCTGAGCCCAGTAATACCACGTCGACTGTCCCATCAACTGAGGCCCTCGGTCAAGATCTAGTCTTGTTTTCGGGGTGGAGAGATGGCGCATCAGACAGGATCTGTTCCTGCAGGGGATTAAAAGAGGCGGGCCGTCCATCCGATCAAATTGATCACACGAGGCACCGGGGTTTTATGAGATCCCGCCAACAACCATTTCGCCACGCCGCGTCAATGCAACGGTTCTGTAATTAAGGGGAATGGAATCGTGGTTCAAGTCCCGCGAGCCGATGGAGCGAAGGAATGCCGATGGAACTGGAAGTTACTCCATGTTACTCTGTCTGATTGAATCTGAATAGACAATCTCAACAATTGTGATCCATTGTGGCCCGTGGGCATGTAGCCCCTTCGCACTTGAACACGACCAGACCAGACTTCTTCCGGGCTCGAGCGCAGCAACCTGCAAATCTTTCCCTTCACATGCCTGGGTGTATGATATACACATAAATGGCACTGAAGCCGGGCAACCCAAGCCGGATCCATATTTTCAGAAAACTCGTACCTGGCTATACACCTGCTTTAATACCAGAACTCTCTCTGGCGACATTTGTCGAGTAACGAATACTACCCCCCTACTCCAACCCTACCAGCAGAGTCGCACAACTCGCCATGCATGTACATCATCATTCGCGATTGACACTCGCCACTTGGAGACGATTAAAGTCTCTGCTGGGAGATCATGACAGCTCTGTCCTCGTTGATGGTGAATCGTTGTCCATCGCGGATGTAATCGCCATATCTCGGTAGGTGACCGTCTTGTCACCAGACCAGGAATACATTCTTACATCCGTGTTTGTTAGTTATGGCTACAAGGCTAGGATCGATGCTTCCCCTGCAGCAATTGCCAAGGTAGATGAAAGTGTTGACTGTCTAGAACGGCTTCTGGACCAAGGCCAGGTCTTTTACGGTAAGAAGTCACCCTTTCCGCCTTGTCTCTTTAGCTGAACCATTATACAGGCGTTGGGACTGGTTTTGGAGGCAGCGCCAACACTCGCTCTGTAGACACTGCTGCTCTCCAGGTTGCACTTATGCAGATGCAGCAGTGCGGCGTATTGTCAGGTTACCAGCCTGGTGAAGCGTCTTTTAAAAGCCATGATCCAACTTCTACATCTATGCCCGAAGCTTGGGTCCGAGCGGCAATAGCTGTCCGGTGCAATACTCTGCTTCGAGGGCACTCGGCTGTGAGATATCAAATCATCCAGATGATGGAGCGACTGCTTAATCAAGACTATATACCGCTAGTCCCCGTAAGAGGCAGCATATCCGCTTCAGGAGACCTCAGTCCTCTTTCCTACATTGCAGGAGTTTTGGAAGGCAATCCCAAACTGTTTCTTTGGACGGGAAACAGTGACTCTAGAACGCTGATCAATGCTAGTCAAGCACTCAAACTGCTCCAGCTTAACCCTATTACCTTCGGCCCCAAAGAAGCCCTGGGACTGGTTAATGGGACGGCGGTATCTGCTGCAGTGGCGACTTTGGCTTTGAATCAAACTCACCAACTTGCCGTTTTATCACAGATCCTCACGGCAATGGCTGTGGAGGCCCTCCGCGGAACCACAGAAAGCTTCCATCCTTTCCTGGCCAAGGTCCGCCCTCACGTTGGTCAGATCGAAGCCGCGCGAAATATTTCGGGCTTTCTCCGTGGCTCTCGCCTTGCTACACAGCAAGTTTCTATAACCAGCATGGAGCACTCGGATGACCTATATCAGGATCGCTACCCAATACGCACCTCGACGCAATGGATCGGTCCACTGCTAGAAGATCTGGTGCTTGCGGATAAGCACATCACCACAGAACTAAACTCTACCACGGATAATCCCGTCATAGATGTCCAAACGGCCCGGGTGCTTCACGGTGGAAACTTTCAAGCCTCCACGGTGACATTGGCCATGGACAAAGCCCGGTCTGCGTTGCAGATGATGGGAAAGATGCTCTTTTCTCAATGTACCGAGATGATGAACCCGAGCATGAGTAATGGGCTACCTCCAAATCTCGTATTTGATGAGCCTAGTGTCTCGTATGCGTTTAAAGGTATACCATGTCCTTACCCTGTGTCAAACAGATCAAGTAGCTTATGCTGTCGACAGGCATCGACATTGCCATGGCTGCCTATACCTCCGAGTTGGGCTTTTTAGCTCAGTCTGTTGCACCGCACGTGCAAAGCGCCGAAATGGCGAATCAGGCGATAAATTCTCTGGCTCTTCTTTCCGCTCGCTATACCCATACGGCGATTGACACCTTTTCCATGTTGACTGCCTCCTACATCTATTCACTTTGTCAAGCCCTCGATCTACGGGTCATCCAGGTACAATTCGAAAATAGAATGAAGTCAGTTCTGCCGCCGCTTGTAAAGGATTTTTTCGCTGCGGTTCTGCCTGATGACTCCCTTGCTGAGTTGGGGTTGTTGACATGCAGACATGTCATTGACCAGTTCAAGAAGACAACCACCGAGGACTCGACCATTCGCTTCCGTAACATTGCGGTATCGACACAGGCTGTATTCATGTCGTTTCTCTCCAAATCGCATCGTTTATCCCCTGAATCGCTACTGACGGGCTTCTCGATCATTCCTATTTGGGTTGCAAGTGCAGAAGCCCTTATGCTGAGTCAGTTTGACGAGATCCGTCACTCTGCGGTGACCAAATGCGATACCCCCTCATATCTTTGCGATGCTTCCAAGCGGATATATGAACTGGTCCGGGTCAAGATGGGGATTCCTTTCAATCGCGGGCTTCCGGACCATCCTTCAGTTGCGAGCGCGAAACGTACAAAGGAGCACAGAGAGCAGATTGACGCGGGACTCGCTCCGTTCAGCAACGGATACCTTATCGGGGACTGTGTGAGCCGAATCTACGATTCCCTTCGATCCGGGGAGATGATGGATACGGTCATGGAATGCTTGGCGGACGTGGTGACTTGTCACGACTCACCAAACTATACCGGCAACGCAACAAATGGGACTCACAGCCTGTGAATCAAGCCCCCCTGTCTGTTCCGCCAGCTCGTTTCCCATCCCGACGATGGATGGGTTTTGCGATACCCACTCTGTTCTTGGCCCTCGACGAAATGGAAACTCGATCGAGTCATGGCCAATCACAGGCAGACAGCACAAGCACGTCACTGCAGATTGTATCCCCGCAATCGACTTCTCTCAGCAATCGAAACTGCCATCCTGAATTGTTGGCGAAAGAGAGGGTGAACCACTTGAAGGAGACAACTTTACAATGGCGGCAGTACCATCCAGTATCCTCATATTCGGGGCCACAGGCAACATTGGCCAGTTCATCACCAAGAACATCCTCCACGCCAAGCCCAACAACGCCAAAGTGACAATCTTTACGTCTGAAAAGACCGTTTCCTCCAAGGCAGCTCTTATAAATGGCTGGAAAGACGCCGGTGCATCGGTGATAGTGGGCGACATTACCAGGGCTGCCGACGTCGCCGATGCATACCGCGGCATTGACACGGTTGTAAGCTGCGTCGGGCGAGCCGTTCTCGACCAGCAAAAGGAACTCATCAGGCTGGCCGAAGAGTCTGGAACTGTCCAGTGGTTCTTCCCCTCGGAGTATGGCACAGACATTGAGCACAATTCCAAGAGCCCAACGGAGCGACCGCATCAGATGAAACTGGCCATCCGCAAGTACATCCGGGAGCACACGAAGCGTCTGAAGGTGACGTATGTCGTTGTCGGTCCGTATTTCGAAATGTGGGTGGATGACGGTAAGTGGTCGGATCGAGTCGGCGGATTCAGGGTTGAAAAGGGCGAGGCCTTCCTTATCGGTGACGGGCAAGGCAGCATCGCCTTTACAAGCATGGAAGAGTGAGTGCGCTTGACCCCTATCGTGGCTTACACTTCACCCTCGTGTCGGCACTAATCAAGGGCTACTGACGAACGGCTCTGTAGCACTGGTAAAGCCGTGGTTGCGGCTCTCCGCCACCCCGAGGTATCCTACGGCAAGGCGTTGAAGATCTCGTCATTTGTGGCAACTCCGAACCAGGTCCTGTCCGAGTTTGAGAAGCAGCTTGGCAGGAAGTTTACTGTAAAATATATCCCATTAGAATCTCTGGAGCGGACAGAGGCGGAATTCTGGGAGGCAGGGAACCCGATCGCTACTATTGCCACGCTGCGCCGAATATGGGCTGCTGGCGGCACCTTGTATGACAAGTGGGACAATGACACGATTGGGCTGACCTCGACGGACTCTCTCGAGGGGATTATCAGGTCACATCTTCAGGAGAAGGGCTATCTGAGTAGCTCGCAAGGCGAAAAGCTATAGGAGGTCGATGAGTAAGGTAGTCGCTTATTAACTAGTAGATTTTGGAAGAAACAAAAAGACTTTGCTATTGTGCACTTGACACTTGATTGCAGTTTCTAGTTTCCTGTAGTCTTGGTTGCCCTGATTACCCGTAGCTTTAGTCTTCAGCACGCATTCTGGAGACAGGGGCAAGTTCGGCAATCGTGCGGAAGTGATGGGTGATGCCGGGAGCAGAGCACAAAAGTCATCTGGAAATTCAGCCACTCATCAGCAAACAGATCAAGTTCAAGCAACGCTTCATACTGGCACTGGACTTCTCTCCACCTAGGTCATCAACAGTTTCCTCTGCTCCGTGGTTATGGTGAACTCTCGCCACAGAAGGCTATGCCATTTGCGAAAGCCATGTTTGGTCTACAATCTAAGCTCACATCATTCCACAATCCTCCTCATCGGGTTTTAATGCTCGACGACTCTCAATTGCCACGGGATAGCCGGGTGCGTAATAGTATGCGGATCCCTCCAAAAGCTAATCAAAAGGCGCGGTTTGGTGTCTTGAGAAAGGAACCTTAGACTAAGGCTGGCATCCCATGGCCCTTCTCTCTGGGTTGACTCCTGAAGAATCCTCAAAGCCGCTTCCTTTGTCTCCAGTCTCATGCTGTACACATACGACCAGTACATGAGGGCAATGAGGCCGGTTTCAAGAGTGTAATCTGACGGTGGTTTCCCCTGCAGATGATGTGTAAGAAGCATCTTTGCAGCAAACGAGACACCCCGAGAAAGTTCGTCCTGGAAGCGGGGGTCCTGGGCCATCCTCAGGTGGGAATCAATCCCGAACGGCACAAGCTGTACCATGGTTCTCGCACTATTCACCAGGAGCCAGTCCATCTGGCTACTGTATGACAGCCATGTCCCAATCGGAGGTGCTTGTGGCCCAGCCCACAGCAGCTCAAGAGCAGACATTATAGCTGCGCCCCGTTGGCGAAGAGCGCTCAGTTCTTGCTGCATATGCGGCTGCGCCCAGAAAGCCTGGTTGCCTCTGTGCCCACGCAGCTCCCAGCAGCGAACCATGACTTCGTTCACGTATTTTGTTCTTGCGTCATAGCCTTGGGCCACGCTGGTGATGGGCTGGGCGTCGGGTGTGTCGCCGCGGAGCTGTTGTCCCAGGATCAAGGGGATGTCGGAAGAAAAGCCCCCAAGAGCAAACTCGAGATTCCGGAATTGAGTGGTGATGTCCCATAGATCGGCGTCGGATAACAACGAGCCTCTTGTCCGACGTCTTGACGAAGCGTTGCGGAGACGGCGCACGTCCAGAGCCGGCATGAGGATGCGTATTCCGTTGCGCATGTGCGCTATCGCTGTGTAGTGATCGCCACGAAGGAGCTCCAGGGAGATGAATGCCAGGCAAGAGACGAGCACAAAGGCAATGCTTGCGGGCTCGGGTTTATCAAGATGTCTGTGAAGGTTCCCGATCGCCAGGTTGTACTCTCTCCAGGTAAAGCGCTCCAGCGTGTCGACAGCCGGAGAGGAATCTTGCAGGTGACTGGAAGCTCCTTTGCTGACCTTGTATAGGTGATATGCCGCCCCTAGCGCTATAAGAGCATGTTGAACGGCCTCGTTACAATGGCCAAGCTGGGGGGCAAGCGTTGTCCAGAATGACACGCCGCAAGAGTGCATGGAAACCCCGTTTTCGGTCGCCCGTCTGTAGGCGCAGAAAAACTGCCGCTCCATGTGAGTGCTCCCCACGCCTGACGAGATGGATCTCATGAAAGCGATTCCAAAGTGTCTAGTTTGGCTGGGTATCTCTCCTTGGAGGACAAGGCGCTGGTTATGGACGAATCGAACTGCCGCGGCATATCCCTCGCATGGTTTTCCGGCAGACATGCACTTGAAGCAAGTTGGTTTTCTTTCGTCGCATTTGACGCGTCGCTTTCTATGAAACGGAAAAATGACCAAGTTAGACTGTTAAAGTAGAGAGTTTACAGTTGAAGCTGTGGTCAACATACCTGCTGGTCGATGAAATCAGCACCCATACTATCTAGGAATTTGTTTCCCAGTTTAAGTTGTGACCCGACCTACCATGTTATACAACCTGTTCTGGTTCTCGTCTTCAGACGATTGCTCTCAGTGATAACACCAGCTGTTTGCATTGCAGCGTGTATGGTGTGATGCGGCCTCGCTTCCATGATAGCAGTCTTCGGATCAGGAGGGATAGTGCACAAGGCTCGATATGTCACTTAAGTATCTAGCCAAGTAGTCAAGAACAGGGAAGGATGTCATGCGATGATACCTCAAGTTCTGAGGCTAGAGAACTGGCCCCCGGAACGATTGCAGCCTTGCATAATTCGTCAGCTGGAACCACTTCACACCCGTGGCCGCCACAGTCAGCTTCGTGTGTGAAACGCAATAGCTATAGGTTGAAGAATCGGGGCATCGACCAATTGAGGCGTTCGCCGAATCTGGCGCCGTCTGCACTCTTATGCTTCGCCCGAAAGTTCTATTATTACATGAATCGGACAGGTGGTGATTAGGCCGACGGAGAGAATTTGCGCCGAGCTCCAAGTTGGACGTCTAATTTCGTGTCTTGTATTCGACAGGGAAGGACATTTCTTTCTCTAGCGCACGCCGGGTTTTCGAACGATCCATTAGCTTTTCGATCCTATTTTAATTCCTGCGGGATAATCCTTTTCTAGAGTAGATGTGTCGGATCCAGCCTGACCAAACAAGTTCAAGTAGGTCCCTACTGCGGATTCCGCAGTAAAGCAGTCCTACCAACATAAAGGAACTTTTGCCAAGATTGTCAGGTTATTCATCGGCGATGGATCGGGCAAGAGGCTGCATTCACTGCTGCTGCTAAAATATCTATGCGCTACAAGTGCTCCGATGGGAGGCTAAGACGTAGCCGAGCGTGTTGATGAGCGCATCGCAACGATTACTCAGAATGGGGCCTAAGAGAAGAGCTGCAATGCAGGCTCTTTCACCGGTTGCCTTGGTTAAACGACTAATTCGAAATCGGCCGGGCGATATCTTCATCTTTGCAAGTGCTAAAAGTGCCCCCGAATTGGCCGAATTACTAGCAGCTTTTGAAGATGAAACTCGACAAGACTGAGAAGCAACCGAAGGCAGATCGGGATCATGCTCGAGTAATACCTTGTCTTGCGCCACAATATATATCTCCGTCACCTATAACATGATGTAGATGCTGGATCAACTCACTGATCTGTCTACTGAAACTATATGCTGCACGCGGAGGCTGTCAGCCAACAGCGGTTTGATCTTAGAGGCTTCGCTACCAGGTTTGACATCATAATGCTTGCAAGGCCTCCTTGGACAGTGACCGTCACGGATTCTACTGGCATGTTGCGGGTACGTTCGTAGCTGTCACAGTCACCAGACCGTCTGTGCCTCCAGCTTTTTGAGCGCCACGGTGACGGATTGCGGCTCGGGGTGGTCACTGATTCCAGAGGCTTCAGAGGTAAAGAATGTACGGGTCTGTTATGTCGTGGGAGACAATACTGAAGGTTGATTCCTTCCCAACAGACAGGACTGTCGCCAGGGCAAGAGTGACCAGATCTACCGGGAATTTGGCCCACCCAACACCTTGAAGACGAGTCTCAGATTATACAGCCCTCTATCCATATACCGTGCAGGCTACGTGTCGCACGAGCTTTCAGTCGTATCCCACCCTGTACACCATTTTGCTCTAATAAGGCTGTATAAATGTATACCATCTGACTAGGCATTCTGTTTGGGCGGTTAATGATTGGCTGATAATGTCCACGAGCACATAGGCTCTGCGTCCTCGCTCCAATGCTGTCGTGGTGCCCTAGGGGCCAATGACTTTGGCGGGAAGTGTCTTGCCTCAAGGCCTGCTGCTGCAACTCACCCACCAAAGAAGTAGCTCCGTGCGCGGTTGCTATCGATATCCCATCTTGAAAAAGACCCCCCGGGGCCACATTTGTCAAGACTGATTCAAATGTACTGTTCGAGGTTTACATTGGAACTTGTCGAATGATGAGAATACTGAGAAGCTCCTGTTAATCTGTTAAACTACATGTAGTTTAACAACATTTACTGCACTGATTGCTCTCCCCTACCTCCGCTTCTAGCCCCACAACCATGCCACCAATTCGACCGAGTCTTGTGCTCACCAAGCAGGATATCATCGACGGTAAGTGCCGCTCATCATCCCCAGAAGCCCGACCGTGGCAACCAGAACGCTTACAGACGCAGGATTGTCCGAGCTTGATGTTGCTTTCGACGCTTCGGAACTGCTCATGAGTGTGGCCCCAATTCGCTTCGTCACAATTGGAGGCATGCTGGCTGTTTCACTCTTTCAAAACCGCACCACGACCAAAGACATTGACTTCCTCCTTGATCCAAATGTGGATGCCGTGGATGACTATCGAAACGAAATACTGAGGGTGATCCAGGGCGTCGCCAGAAAAAAGGGCTTCAATAGCGATTGGATGAATGACGACCTTAAAATCTTCATTCAAAACTCTAATAGGCTGAACATCTTCTTGCAATCCGTCGAGCAGGGAATCATCGTCTATCAAGGTCAGAACCTCATCGTCTATGCTGGACGCCTAGACTTCGCCCTGGAGCGCAAGCTTCGTCGTGTCGATGAGAGGAGCAGGATTAGGTCACGCGAAATTGACCTCTCCGATGCCGTGACGTTGGTTCATTACATTAAAGGCGACGGTCATCCTCTCAGCTGGCAGTACGTCCAAGGGTTGGATGAGAACGGCCGGGGAATGGGAGTCGGCGATGCTGGAATCCAAGCTGTCGCTACTGAATACATAAGAGTGTACCGTGTCCAGGGAATAGTTGAGATGGTATGGGATGAGGAATTCGAGCGCTGGAGATATATCGACCTGGAAGGTGAGTGGACATGGGTTTAGATAACTGCACCTTGAGCGGTTTCAAGAGCACATTCATTAGACGGTCCTTAACGCGGCCGAACTCGCTTGTATATGCCTTTTATCGAAATCTGGATCTGAACTCGTGTCATTGGGGTCATTGTATTTATGTAGGATTAATCTTTTGTCGAGTACGGGCCCTTCGTTCGTCCAAGTCGGCACAGAGAGAGTAGGATACTCGGTGTTGCCTTCAACATGGCGGCCGTCTCGCCGTAGTCCAAGTGAGAGGCGCCAGTTGAAAGACCATATAAGGGCCTCGGCCAGTGAAGCAAAAACGGCAAGCTGCTCAGGATCCGTACAGCCATCTTCGCGTGGGTCACGGAGAAGCTCGGGATTCCACCCAGGCTGCCTCTTCCAAAAGTACTCTGTCTCATACCCAATGTGTACTTCATCATATGCACAAAATGCTTCATAGAGGCGATAGAAGGAGCGCTGCATGCTATCGCGCCATCGCCAGACCGGGAGAAGGCGCAGCTGAAAAATATGAGGGTGCTTCTCGTCCACATATGTCTCAGGGGCATAGGCCATAATATAGCGCGGTGCTGGCGGTAGATAGCATGGGAAGTATCGAGGGATTCTTAAAAATAGCCCTAGAAGGGTTAAAAATGGATGTTGACAAAACTGAGAGAGGACCCTTATAGAGTATCGCAGTTCGAGCGGTGTGGCGTAGAACTCCATTCGCCAACGCCAGCGGCGCCATTTCCTGGCCAAGTACTCCATTACCATGAAGGAGATCCAAAGATGCGACCGCGTTGGAGCATGGGAGCGCGAGGAATTTCGGGGACGGGAGAGGGTAGAAACTTTAAAGGCCACAAAATTGAGATGAATAAAAGAAACCAGTTATTCTATTCATGGTTGGAGGTTTGGGAATGTTAGGGCCCGAGTCACGTGAACCCCCCCTACCTTATTGTCTCCACTAGAGTGTAAAAACGGGTACCCGTAGGCACTCGTAGGTATTTAAGTTTTTCTTAGGTTATTTATAAGCTACTTATTTTATTATATAAGTAATTTAAGTATATTATAAGTAACCTAAGAAAAAGATAAGTATCTTATAAATAACTATAAAATATATAATAATATAATATAATAATATAAATTAATTTTCTTAAATTAATTATAATAATTAATTATAATAATTAACGTTAAC